TGCTCTTTGTAACTCCCAACCTTTGTCACCATGGTTGCGCAGTTAAAGCCCACACTTTGTCCGGTGGAAATGTGGTGGAGGGCAGTCGCCGAGCTTTTTTACAGGCTTCGCTTTTCTTCTGTCGTTAGATTTGTGATGTTCGCCGCTCTCATATGCTTTACCATTCTAGTTCGTTGTTGCCTGGTAGTTTGACCAGACTGTAATAGGTGGCATTCTGAGCAATTTATTAAGTTAATTGTGTCAGTCCTTTCTTCGTTAATTTGTCCTTTATCCCTCGTTAAACGAGATTATAATTTCTCGTTTGATTTGAAAACGGTCTCGATATTTACTTTTTCCAGCACCCGTCTAATCGACTCTGAAATGACGGGCACATAAGGAATACAAACGGTCGATATCAGTTGGAGTGAGCGTTCGTGTTCGCGGTTGACAAGCGATGTTTCGGTTTCTTATTCCTCTTTCGATGAACTCTTCCGGACACCCGTTTGTCTGCAATGCTTCACCTGGCTAATTTTAAATTCAAGTAATGGTGTTCAGTTGTTTAGCTCAGTTCAGATTTTATGTTATGTTCATTTGGGTAGGATATTAGTCGCACGGCTCTCAAATAGACTTCAGACCGCACCTGCTTTCATGCATGTCGCGAATGATTAGAGCTGAAATGCAGGTAGTGTTGCGTATACATGGGCCTGCTAGAGACAAGCTTTTAGTGATCTGTCGTTTCCTCTGATTATTTTGCAGTCTAAAATTGAAACAAACTGTCCTTTTCGACTTTCATCATGCATGGGATAGATTCATGGTATTTAGATACTGACAAATATGTCATCAGCATATCTCCATCATACTTTCGGTGGTGAAAGTTGTTGAGAGCACCCTTCTCTAGCTTCTCCATGAACATGCTATCGACGACTTCTCCATGAACATACTATCAAACCCATAGTGTTCGTTCTAGTTGTATTTATTGTCCTGCCACCACTGGTGAACCAGTGTTTTTCATACAAGATTTTAGGCAGCTCAGTATCTCTTACTGATTCATCTTCATGCGCTTTTCCCAGCCACTTTCCGTTGGACCTATTCTTCCATGCGCAGTGTTGCTTCTTTAATATATATGCTGATGACGAGTGAGATTACATCGAAGCTGGCCGTGATTTCGTCGTGGTCAATCGTATGTCATTTAGCTTTGTCTTGAAGTATATTGCGTCATTCGTGAGTGTCTCACTTTCCGACAAGACTAGTAACGACTCTAGGCTTTGTACTTTTCCAAGTTGTAAGTGTAGCTATCAATGCAGTCTATACTTTGCCGCAAGGAAATATTTTCTTTGTGAATCTCTGGCAGCCCATGAAATCGTGGCTCATGGCCTGACTTAAGGGTCACGTGATGAAACCACTGATTGCTTAGCTTCCGTAACAGATGCAGAAACTTGTTCAGATTTCTCATAACCTGCTTTCCCCGTAGTTTCCGGGGCTTTAAACGTCTCTGCATTAAGAATGATCTTAATGTATATTGTATGTTCCGATTTGTTCATGATTTCTATCGCATTTCCTTTTTCCGCTCGCAGATGGAGAGATCTTACAACGCTTTAATTACGTGGTTTTCTTCTTTAAAAATATTCATTTTTGTCTTTGGAGGTCTTCGACGAATGTGGCTGATCTTCTTACGAATGTCTTCTGTTGTATATGTATCGAGATGTTAGATTACAGTTTCAGCTGCTGGAGTAAACTTTATTGGTACAGCTTTCTTTAGTGCAGTGGCAAAGTTGAGACTATTACTTAGCAGTCTGGTTTCACCCTTTGACAACATTCTGTCCAATAGGTTCACAATCCATTTTCTTGACGTTCTCGTTGTCACGTATTGACTGCCGTAATGGCTTTTTTGTAATTTTCTTCTTTATCCCGTCTTCACTATCATGTTTTCAGTTTCTGCCAGTCTCGCGCATTATATATGTACACCTTAGAAATCCTTGGCTTAAAAAAGTATTTTTCTGAAATGTTGTATAAACATATGTTAGTCGTTTTCGCAAGTTTCTGAGTGTCGCCGTGTATGTAATTTTCCAGGCACATTACATGTTCATTGCTGGAGGAGTTTGGAGTAATACCACTTGGACAAATGAAATTTTTGACAGCGTATATTCAAGACCCGATGATTCTTTTAATTTACTCAATAAACTGCTCAAGCTGCCAGTAATCATATGTTGGTCCAACTGTCAGATCACTACGAACTAGGATGGCAGAGCATAAGAGCGCAGCAAGCATCATGAACCTAACGACCGAACAAAAGCGACACTTGGTAAAGAACTCTGCGGCAGCTCTCTACTGGCCATAGCGTCGACTTTAACTATCCAACCGTAGTAACTACGGTTGGGAGCTACAAAGAGCGCTTAGTGGCCGAAGCGCTCTCTATCCAGGCAAGATCCAGCATCATAAACAGAGATAAAAATGTTTATATCTCTCCATTAAGGCGTAACTTGTGTAAACTGTAGACAGAGAGCAAAAAAATCGATTGTTGGTACCTCCTGACTGTTTTGTGCGACCGTACCTCCGTATGTCATACTGATTGTTTGCAGTTGAGAAGGACTGGTGCCATCAACCGAAACTTTGGTCCTGCGATAAACAGACTTTGTGCCGCGTATAATTTCGAATAAAAAAGTGTTTCTTGCTCATGATTCAGCCAACGGATTCAGTTATCTGTCTTAAAGTACGAGTTTCGAATTTAAAATATTTGCTTTTCATCATGGTCGCGAAACTGACTGTCTCTTTGTAAAGAGCTTGTCGATGTCATGTCCGAAGCGGAGCATTTGGCCACTGCTGAATGCAATGATAATGACTCCAAAAAGCTGCCAGAGGCGAGAAAGCACGACAGCGGGGCAGCGGACCTTGAGAAAGTGACAGAGTACGTCGAAGAGAAGGAGCTGTCAGCGCACGTTCATACCGTATCTTTTTATACTCGCTGCTTATAAACCAGCTGTTTTACTCTTTTTAAGGCAGTCAGCAGTATCTTGGGCACGCAGAAATCAAAAGAAAAGCAGTCCCACACTGTACCTGACTCAAATAAGTTTACGATTCGCCGCGAAGATATCGAACTGATCGTACGTTTTGTCTGAAGTATCGAGCTTTATCATGTGAGCTATTTCTTTAGATGAACGAAATGGAGGTGACCAGGCAAGTCGCGGAAAGAAAGCTGAGAGACCACAAAGGCGATGCTAAAGCCGTGCTGGTCGAAATGCTTACTGTGTAACTGTTGCCACATTACAATGATTTTTAAAAGTGTTGTTAATGTTCGTTTGCGTGCTTGTGATGTAACGCTGTCAAGTCACGTTGAGAGAATGCGTGATCGCCATTATGAGGAACGAACTTCATTGCAGTCAATCGAAAATTCGCAGGAAGAACCGTATGTTCTATGTACCAGAATATATTAAAAAACTAGGGTTGGGTGAGAGGCTTGCTATTTGGTTGGTTTTCTGTCTGCTTTACCGTCAAGACGAAGAAACACATTGATTGTTTGTCGATGCTTTATTATCGACAGCGACACGTTTGTAATTAACGTTGCGTTGAAAGCAGTATTATTAAGGAACTTTACTAGTTCTTTAGATAAAATACGTGCACCTTGACTGTAGCAAGTAGACCTTTTTCAGCTTTTGAATATCAAAAGTGCAAGCTTTAAAATGAAGTCTGACTTTTCTCACTGTGTATTCAAATGCCGCTTAACAATGAAGCATTTTTCATTTTCGGGTTTTAGTTACACATGCATCCTTATTTAGATTAGTCGATCTTTAGTTGCCGTTAAACAACGGAAGTCCGTAGGAGACGATGGCTGCACCTGTTAAAAATGGCAGTTTACAGTAATTTCGTGCATAGGCTAATGCTTGTAACAAGCTGTCTGAATGATCGCTGATATTGGCGCATCTGTAGTCCTGCTGCTCACGATTCGGATTCCTGAATCCCAGCCATATAGTGAGAAGAGCTTCTAAGTATCGGTTCATTTCCTTATCGGTTACATCCCACAATGTTCCAACAACGTTAGGGCTGAAATATGACATATTACGAATAGTATTGAAGTTTGAAGTCACGGAGCATACCTCTTTGCAATCTGATAGTAGGCACAAGTTCCGAGAGTTTCGTACCTGTTTCCGGGCCTGTACGTCAGAGCACTACTACAGCCCATGAGCAGCACGGAAGCCTTGCAATCATCTCTTCGGCAGTCACTCGTTTTTATGTATTTGCTTCCTCCGCCGTGGCCGCAGTAGCTAAATATTTATTATTTCACAAGCGTTGAAATGAAAAATTCATGGTTGAAACTTGATTGGTCCAAAATTCGGTCAGTGCTTATGTTTCTTGTTTGCTTGCATTGTTTAGTAAACGAGGAAAATAAGAACTATGCCGATTCTTAACGGAGGCTGCTGTGAACGTCCTTTATCCAATCAACTGTTCAAAGTGATAACGCGAAACGTTTCATACACATAGCCCATAGGCATACGTGCAGTATGATCATGAAACAAGCGAGCTGTGTGAATAAACCTCTCAGCTCTCACTATATATGCTCGTACACTAATATCAAGTATAGATTCAAGGTCTAGTTGTACTGATAATTGTTCTAATGATAGTCTTAAATTTTCCTCATGTGGTACAAATAATTGTGTTAGAATATGAATGTCATCCTCTATCCAAAAGATGACAAATTATATATGATATATAGAAAAGTGGTTGACCGATTCATGGTTCAGGGCACCAAACAGCAGATGGGAAAACTTTTACTGCTAACGCGTTTCACTACATAGACCGTAGCATCATCAGGCTGGGCACGTATGACTGCTTGAAGGCACTTATATCCAACAAGCGAACATTTCGATGTTTCTTGATAGGCCCATATTTAAAAACCCTAGTTGTTAAACAGCTTGACCAGAATGTAAACCAACCAACGCAATGTAAAGTTTACATTAAAAATGCAATAGGTTCTTTGTTGTGTTGACCTGACTTTCCATACCAGGTTCTTGACTGTGCTCCAACTTTCACCAATAATCACAGACGTGTGTTCACTGCCATTATATGTAAGGACTCGATTATCAGCAGCCCTGACTTAGAATAGTCTTTGTCTATGGCACACTGGTCTGACTGAAACAGTGTCCCTCAGAGATGGCATACTGGGGCAATGCCGGAACTGTCATATTGTCCGAGGCAGGCTTCGGATAGATGCTCTTTGATCTAAATGTTCAACTTCGGGTCTTTCCAGTGTATACCTAGTCACAATCTCCGCACTGGATTCTGCTGACGGCATTTAACGCTTCTTTCAGGTTAATGGGCATGTACTTCTTCAATAAATATTTCCAAAATTTGAATATTTCCAAATGTTTTGCCAGTCTTGTAGCAGACTTTATACCCCATGCCATTAAGTCATTAACACAAACGTGACAATATTCACTTGTTGGACATAAGTGATATGGAGCAACTATTTGCGCTCAGCCCAGCTCTGGTGTTGCTACGGTATATGTACTGAAACGCGTTGACAGTAACGGTTTCAGTTTTACCATCTGCTGTTTTTTTCGTAAACCTGAACTATGAATCATTCAACGACCTACCTATCCATATAACTATCGACCCAGAATCCAACCTCAGATCAGAAACCTGTCAAACAAAGTCTTATTTATATCACTTTGACTTATTCGGATGTCGCAAGGGGGTTAGGGTATCTTGGCGCTTCTTGTCACCGTTTGTCATTGCATTTTGTTCTGGACAATGCCAGATATGATTGAAGCCAATCGCTGTGCCATGTTTGGCTCAGTTTGCCCGTAGGTGCGGCCAATCTGCGTACCCAATAGTTCGTCTCTATGCTATGCAGCCATAAAGTTGTCGGCCTGCTTCGGCCCTTTCCAGGATGGGTTCCGCACACTACAAATCAAGTTGCTCAGCCGCTTCTCGTCCCGCTGCAGGAGCTAGGAAGCGAGAGTTTTCGTTTGCTATATTCGGCAAAAAAAGTTGATATTATTTCCTGCCCGGCGAACTCCATCTGTACTTGCTTTAAAGCCCTCCAGCAAATGAGCATTCTTGGTTTTATCAGTCAATCTATAATCGAGTATTCTACACCAACACCGTTCAGACACGTCCAGCTCATTCTTTTCTTTCTTGGTAAGGGTTCAGGTTACTGCGGCATAATTAGTACTGGTCAAATAGCTGTCAGATATACGCATGCGTTCACTGACGACAGCTTTCCAGTTTACTTTTTTAAATTTTTTCTAGCAGTTTTTCACAGATTTTGCTGCAGCATATTATATGCAATTCGAGCCTTTCTGATTCTTTCCTGGGTATCAGCTTTAC